TTCCTACTCTGAAAAAGACTAGAACATTTCATCCTAGTTTAGAAAGAAGTGCAGACGCTGTTGAGAAACAACATTTGAATTTGATCGGAAAAAATCTAGACAGAACATTAAGACCATAAAATTGAACCTTTACTTGGGTTTAAACTCGTGTATCTCAACAAACTTCCTCCAGATTGAGACGTTTGTCTAATTTCTGTGTCCTTGCAGGAAACATCAGCTACCACAAACCCTTTGTCTCCATGCATCCAAAGACTGGGTTAATCAATATTGGACCCAAAGCCTGACGGCGAGGGGTCGGACACAGTCATGGACAGCTGTAGGGGGATTACCCTATAAACACATATCCTTAATAAGGTCTCAGTGTGAGAGCAGACAGGGGGCAGTGTTATGGAGATGAGGGTGTCAAGGTCAAGTCACCGGGGTCTGAGGACTTTTAGGGTTACTATTGTGTCCATACCCTCCCCTCCAGGCTCACACGGCTCTGTTAACGCAACAAAAAAGCAAAGGTCAAAGGTCGGGATCAGTTTTTGTGGCCTCGGTTGAAGACGGATTATCTAAAACCTCACTTCTCCTCTAATAAGAATACGCCTGCATCTTAAATTCGGTCTGTTTATTTTCATCCACTGTATTTATACTCAAAACTCGGTTAAAAGGGAAGACATTTTCATAAGGATTTACCTATAATGCTAAATGTGTTTTAAAGCCTTTAAATCCCTCTGTGTGTTCTAAGGTTTAGGTGCCTCAGCTAGTGTTAAACCCACACAAGGTCCAAACCAAAGCCTGTATCGGACATGAACAAAAACCTACACACACATCATTTAAATTATGAATATTGAGAACCACGGATTTAAGCAGGTTGGACTGGAAAAAACATTTAATTTAGGATAATTAAAAAAGCAGACAGCAACTCTTATAATGATATTACATGTTTTCACACACACAAAAAAAAGCATTTCTAAAGATTTTGCAGAATCTTAATAGGTGATTTAGAAAGATTGATCTGATGATGGCTTTATATAGAAAATCTCAGTTTAACTGCATTCAATAGAACATCTACAAATTAACACTTGTTTAAATGTTTGATTCAACCAATAATTTCACATAGCCAGAATCATGTTCAGTATTCAGGCTAAATCAATCAAATTCAAATTTTACGTGGGACCTAGTAATAAAGACATAAAACACAGCAAACAATCAATGACAAAGAGCAAAAAAGTAAAACTGTACTTACTTAAAGCTGACAGACATGTGAGGAGGATAATGTTTTTCATTTTGGTCCTTGACCCTCCAGCCTCCTTGGCATTAAAAGCCTTTGAAACCACAAAAAGCCAAAAGTTGCAAAGTAATCCAACTGGAAAGCCAACTAATGATAAAACCAACTGTACATTCCCTTAATTTAAAGCTAGTTTTGTTTCCATTAAAGCATTACTGATGTTCTTTGGTTCAGCATGTAGCCCTCATAAGGCTGCTGACCATGTCCAAAGCTGCTCTGAGGAATGGATGAGGGAGACACCTAAGCCAGGCCAAAGCTCGTTACATATTCAGCCTCATTGTTTTCAGTGAATGGACGGAGGAGCTCACTGACCACTGGTAGGTCAGTACCCTATCAGCCAATCGCAGTGCTATGATCAAGGGGTGGTCGCTACATGGAAAGCCTGATATTCATTTAAAAAGGGGCGCCTAAAGACAGACACCTACCCAACCCCAGATCGTTTTGAGCCAGCTGGGGCCTGAGCAGGAAGCATCACTCAAAATCAAAGTCTTAGTCCTGGCAGCTTTATTTTATATATTTTGATTTCTAGAAATACTGATTTTTTTTAACACAAAACTAACAAAAAATTAACATTAGTTTCTGAAATATAAACCAATAATTTTAAAAGATTCAATTCAGTTCATTTCTATAGCGCCAATTCACAACACATGTCAT